CAAAGTCAAGATAGATGATGTCCACAGAATTACGGTAACTTGAGGGAGACTGTGAGCCCTAAGAAGCGCATGTAGTACAGTTTATGATGAGCAGAAAGAATTTAGAGCAGAAGAATGGGCATTATCTTCCTTTCTTCTCCCCTGTATGTTTCAGTAGCTATATGTCTACCCCTCTCAGTGGTAAGGAAGCCATAGAAATAGAAGATAAAAGTTTTTCCATCTGTGTACAGCTGAATATTAAAGGAGTAAATTCTGTGTAAATTCTACCTGCAAACAGGTGTCTAGTAGGTGAGCCTGTTAACAATTGCAAGTCAGATCTTCAATGTGATACCAGATACCCAAAGATATAAGCAAGAATGCTCAAAATCCAGTGTTTGCAGAGCTCCATGTTTTCTTTGCTTTTTACTCTGCTGGTTTCTGAGCAGCTCCCTTTTTTTTGTTGTTTGTGTAGTATTACGATGATAGTTGTTCTCTAGCCTTCCTAATTTCACAAATTCTTTCTTATCCCTGCTCTTTCTGAACTTTTCCTGCGATGTTCATGCTTCTGAATTTCAGGATGTGACTGTTTGGACAGCCATCAGTATACCACTTCTGATTTCTGTTTGGTATCTGTTTGGTATCAGAGACTCTGTACTTTTGTACTATCTCCATTTTGAAAGTGTGTTTAGTTGCATTTTCTCTTTGTTTCTTACCTGCTTTTTGTGATAAACCCTAGAAGAAGTGACAACAATTCTTGCATCTCCTTGAAGCAGGTGAATGGGAGGGGAGAGAACACAAAGACCAGAATCCTTGAGAACAGAAACAGAGATGGGAAACTGCAGAGGAGAGATGTGTACTCTCCAGTGAGAGGGAAAAGTGGTGCTTAGCTCAGGAAAGGACCTAGGACTTGCCTAGTTGAGGAGATTTTACATACACAGCCTGTGTGCCCAGTGTCTGCTCCCGTGTCTCAGGAGGGGTGTGCGTATTGCATAGCGAGCGTGCTCCGGGAAGCAGAGCTCTCGAGCAGTTAGCAAGTGTAAGGGCTACGGGTTTCACTTGCCTGGGAGAGCAGCAGTGGAGAGTTGGAGCCTGGGAAGTGTCCTGAAGAGGGGAGAGCAGCAAACGCTGATGGAGTCCATTTGGACTGAGGGTTGTGAAGCAGGTCAGCTAACCTCCAGACATCTGCAGCTGAGCTACCTCATGCACATAGCTCCTGGGTGTATCTATCCACATCATCATCTCGTGTCTGGCACAGAAATAATCTGGTCATGTTGGACTTAAAACGCTGTAGCTTGCTGGATGTCCAGCTGGAGGATGTGCTGGCTGCTGTGAGGTAAGTAAGCTGCTGTAGTCCAAGATGCCTTCAGCAGACTTTTGTGTTGCTCCTGCCAAGTAGGGAGTACATTACCTATTGTTGAAGGTGTTCTCACAACAAAATGTTATCTCTGGGCAGCTGCCGCTCTTACAAAGTGTTTATAGAAATGAATGTTAATTATATGTGTTTAGTTAATTAAGTCTGCAGCTGATGCGGTTTGGTTTAATTGCAAGTAATGGAACATTTTATTCTTCTGCTCCCTCCCTCTCAGAGATATCCTAATAGAGTTTGAAGCAGCTTTTTGCTAGTATCCTCTGGCATGTTGGACTACCTGCAAAACGTTAGCTTCTCAAGGAACATACTTAGTTGTGGGCAGCACTTGGTAATTTATCTAAGTTATACTGTAGTTAAACTTTGCTTTTCTCCTTTCAGGTCTTGGGCTAAGATCAGATGAACTTCCCAGACAATTCAGTTACAGTGACTGGCCCGAAATGAAGAAAAGAATTGCATCCATATTCGCACAGAAAACGCAAGCTGAGTGGTGCACCATATTTGATGGCACTGATGCCTGTGTGACCCCTGTTTTATCTTTTGATGAAGTTGCTTCACATCAGCATAACAAACAAAGAAGTTCTTTTATGAAAAACGATCAGGAAGAGATAAGTCCTAGACCTGCTCCTCTTCTGTCAAGGACCCCTGCTGTTCCATCGCTTAAAAGAGATCCTTTTATAGGAGAACACACAGAGGAGATACTTCTAGAATATGGGTTTACTAAGGAAGAGATTGCTAAACTGTATTCCGACAAAGTAATAGAATTCAGTAAAACAAAAGCTAATTTATAATCTCTTAACTATGCAGATCAGGCTGAAACAGGAAGTTTTTATGAGTTAAAATTAAATTATATGGCAAGTAAATGTTTGCATTATATTGTTTTAAAGTATTTTGTTCAACTATTGAAGTTCAAAGTTTAATTGAAAATTGGGAGTTATGGACTTGTGTACCTTGATGGTCTGCAGTCTAGAATGATAACAGAATGGTGTTGTGAAGATCTACACAGTTTGCTTATTAAGCAGCTGTAAATCCTCAAAATTTTCATTTAAATATGATATCCTATGAAATGTTAGTTTATTTCTTAGCTGCACTATTGCTTTGTAATATATGTTGTAATTAAATGAAGACAATACTTTTCATAAAACACAGTTCTATTCTTCCTAAACAGGTGATCATGTTGTTTACTCATTGATTAGAGGGGATATTTTTCTCTGGTTTATCATAGTAATTTGCCTTACACTGAAACAATTAAAAAAATGCTGTTCTCTTACGTGCTCCTGTAGAGTTATTATCATAAAGTTATAATATTTAATAGCCTTATTACATTTTCTGAACACAGTCTCCTGATGATATTACGTTTGGAATTTCAGTTTGCCTGGAAATTCACTACAGAATGAAATTTATTATTTTAAAATAGCTGCTAAGTATTAATCCTTTTCTCTCTTTTTGGAAAAAACGGTAGGCAACTTAGCTGCACAGGTTTTAAATAATGGCTATTGTGTTGTGCTTTTCCTTTCCTTCAAAATTAAACAATCATTTGAAATTGTCTTCTTCAAGTCAAAGGAAAATACACTTTTAAAGAGAATTAGGTCTATGGTCTTAGTACAGTTTTCTTGGGGTCTGACATGTCAGAAATCGTGATATGAGGAGCTGGGTTGTTTGATAATTTTATCAGAGTGTTTAACTTGCTAAAGATTAGTTTGTTGCTTACAAAGATTTTCAAAGCTGAGATACACTTCATCTGATTTTTGCATGTGTCATGCCAGAAATGTCAGCATTATTACTATAAAAAAAACCTTTTGCATTCTACCACATAAACACCTGCATGGAAGCAAGAATTATCTAGTACATCCAGACAAATTAGATAAACAATCAGAAAAGCATCTTAATTTTCCTGC